TCCACTGGCCAACCTCAGAGTAGCTGTCTCCGTTCCCTGGGGAAGGAAAGGAGAGAGCAGAGCCTGAAACTTTCCAAATTCAAGGTACATCTGATGACTTCTGAGCACATCAGTGGTGTGTGACGACTGCTTTGGTCAACTGCGTGGAGACAGCTGCCATCGGTTTGACTGTTTATTCTTGTTCCTGACCGGTGGAGCAGAGTGGAATTCAGCCACAGCCAGAACGAGGGTTCAGAGTATCCTTGCTCCTTATCTGCTTAGCCATTTATTAGCACACTCAGTGTTCCTGGCTGGCTGCTCTGTGAACTTCGGTCATGCAGACGAGGCCTGATTTATTTGCTTTCTTTTCCTCATGCCGCACTGAGGGCACAAAAGCTTTGAGAACAAAGTCCACCATGCCCTGGGGTTGAGTTCATGGAAAAAGCATATTTATTCATAGACTGCCTCTGTTTCCATTTTCAGAGATTTATCACCATCTATTAACCACAAGCTCAGTGTGGGTTCCATCACTTCATTTCTGCAGAGATGGATTAAAAAACCAAAGGATCATTTGAATAACAATAATAATAATAAGGATAACGTGAATACTAAAAGAAATTTAAGAAAGAAAGTAGGATTCAGCAAAAGAAATAGTTTGGTTGGTTAGGGGGACAGTAAGAGGCAACCTGTCCCCAAGGAAGAAGGTGACCCCTCAGGAAGACGAAGGAACCTGGAACTGGATTGGAATAGCTGGGGAGGGATTCACCTCAGTCCTTCTAGTTTTAAACTGTAAAACTTGTTGACTTCATATATAGAAAACTCTTTGTTATATAAGAGCAGTAACACTCATTGAGCACAGGACTGACCCTGTCTTATACCTGAGGACGTTGAGGAAACAGAGGCTGAAGCTGGGGTCACCTTGCCAATGAGTGGTGCAGTTGGTCTTGGGGCTTGGATCTGTCTGGCTCCAGAGTCCAAGCTCTTTGCCAGCATCCCTCATGCAAGAAGGCGTGCTGGGCTAGGGGGAAAAGTGCCTGCAGGAGAATCAGAGACCTATACGCTTATTTGACAGCTGCCAGGCAGGTGCATGATTTTAGGTAAGTTACTTCTCTTAGGGTCTGGATGGTGTCATCTGTGGGGCAATAAGGAGTTCTGGGCAGGCAGACACTGGTTAACAGGGTTATCATGAGAGTCACTGTTGGATCCCTAATTTGAAAGGAGAAGAAAACAATTAACTGTATTGTTCACAGCATAACCGCCCCCCCCCCCACATTTAATAATTCAGACAACATTTCAGGATCCTGTAATCATGCCTCTGAGTTACCACCAGAAACTCCATGTCCTGACATGTTGACAAGTTAGTGGAGATGGTGGGTAATGGAAGAATTTTAACAAGAGGATCCCAGCAGTCATTAGTTGTATTCTAGTGATTAGTGTTATTGTATTTCTATCCAGAACCCGATTACTGTTAATGCTCATCAATAGAGTTCAAATAGGAACTAATAAAAAATGGTAATTTTCATGCTTCTACCACTTCTTACTTTCCAAACTGCTTTTATGTTCAGTTTATCACTTTGCTCTTTGGCGTTCTGGAAGAAGGCTGATCCAGTAACCCGCGAGATGGCTGTGTTTCTTTCTAAAGGTTTTGATCATAGTTGTAATAATAATTAACTGAGGTTACTAAGCCACGCCATGAAGGTCAAACCTTTCTCACCTGTGATGATGAACTGTATGCAATGCCCAGATGAGACGATGGATGTGTTTTTAATGAAGTTCTCGCCAAAGCAGTAAAGCAAGTATCTTGCCCGCTGAGCCAAGTGTAGCTACTGCATTCGCAGGCACCCTCCCCCACCCACAGCGCAGTCCTGGCTAGAACCAGGCCCCAGAAACAGAGCAGTGCCCTGGCCTCTGCTGTGCTGGGTCAGGCCGACACCCTCTGCCCCAGCAAGAGAACCAAATGTGAGAGGCAGAGACAGTGGAAACACAGAAAACAATGTCCAATCACCAAATATTCACTGGGCACCAATGTACCGTAGCCACAGGAGACTCTCTAGAATCCGGCCTTTGGGAGATGTGGGAACATCATGAAGAGCCCACACCAGACCAGGTGAATTCTGGGTAATCTCCAGATGGTCTCCTGGGGACAGAGAGGTTCTGCCATGGGAATAGTCCCCTTTGTTAAAGCCGAGTAGCTATCTGACAGAGCCTTCTCCCTTCCTTCTGTTTTATGCCATTATTGCAAAGTTTCCATGGGTGAAGTGCTCAGCAGAGGGAGACTTTCCCAGGGCCAGGCAGTCAAAGCGGAGCCTTACTATTAATCCCATGTGTTTCCATCTCCTCCATCTACCTGCCGATCCCTGGACTATCCCTCCAAGAATCTCACCCTTCAGGGAGCTCTGGTCCCGGTAAAAATGCAATTTATCCTTGGAAGGGTCATCACCTCGGTGTGATTGAGGTTCCAGAGTAAGATTTCTTTTTTTTTTTCTTTTTCTTTTTTGGAGGAGGGGGAAGAGTCTCAAGCTGTCCCCCTGGGTAGAGTGCTATGGCATCACAGCTCACAGCAACCTCCAACTCCTGGGCTCAAGCGAGTCTCCTGCCTCAGCCTCCCA